AGTTCAAAGTTCGAATTCTAACTGTGGTTAAACACTGCAAGATGATGTACGATTTTCACCCTCGGTAAGTGCGCCACAAAGTTAATTGGTAAGCTAAAGCCACTGACTGAGTTTCATTCACTAATGGAAGCAATTTTGGTGAAATCTCAGAAGAGATACTTTTGTAAAATCGACTTGTTCTTGTTGATACAGGAATGACGCATTAAATGTTTTTTGTCACACATACTTCTCATGTAGTCCCTGATAATTAGAGAACACTGGATTACAACCTGATTTCCATATTGTCTAACATCGGTCCAAAGAAATTGATCTGAATTTTAAGATAATGTGTAAACGGGCAACAATATCCTGTCTTCCTCTTGTGTGCTTGACCTCAGCCAAGCAAACGCAATGTCTAATCGCTGACCACAAAAATAAAGACTTTTGAGTGGAAGGAATAATTGCCAACAGTTTGTATAATTGTGGTGTTATGTATATATACTGGTTGTGTCTTGTAAACTCACAGTAGTTTCCAACATAAAAATAACACCGAAGGCATGGCATAATAAATACTACGCTGAAAGAAAATAGCAGCCGAAACAGCAATGTGTTAGTTCCAGTACTAGAAAACCAATTTAAATTAGCAGAAGAGTTAATTACATACGCCATCGTTTGAAAACATTAAGACGAGAAAATAAAAGTAAATCTTTTTGTACAGAAAAGGAATGCACTAAATTGTTTCTATATTTGGAGAAACTCACATGCATCCAATCGTTTAACACACATAATCCACACAAAGGTGGCCCTGCTATATACGTGGTTAGGTAGGAAATTATATATTGTGAAAACGGTGGCTAATATCATATCGAAATCTTATTCAATGAAAGGATGTGTTATTGGTAGTCTCCCAAGCTTACAGCCCATATGAATGACATGTTTGACTCGAGTTTACTAATATATTGTAATTATACAGTCCGATTCACAAAAAATAGGTTTCCCTTTGTTCATGAACACACAATGAACATGCTTGGAAATGATTCTAGTTTTTCAGTGAAACGATCAGAAGTGAAATTTGGGGCACATTTTACTGACATTTGTCATTTCAGACTGTGCGCTGATTCGGAAAATCAAAAACAAAATAAAAA